TGTGGGGCCTCGAGTTGGGGGAAGGTGTTTTCATGGGCACCTCAATGGTGTATTACCATGTCACTTTCCCTTTTCTCAAGGGTAGAGTTATTGCCCCAGAGGAGGGTTTTCCTCCGGGTTGTTCATCTGGACATCCGATTGCTGCATTGGATGTGATGATGTAGCCTGGGCTACATTGTCGAGCTGTGGGCTCAATGAAGTGGGTGCTCCCTGGGTGGGAGTGGGTTGTTGCATTCCTGAGCTACTTGGCTCAGGTGTAGAGTACGGTAGGTCTACCATTCTTCCCGTGGGGAAGGGTGGTCACTGGCCTGGTTGTCCAGCATGGAGACTTGCATCTCTTTCCCGGTATTTGGAAGCTTTTGCTTCCTGCTCCACAGTTCTTGCAGCACATTCCTCAGGAGTCCTGAGTGGTTTGAACTGGGACTTTATATAGGCAGCTTTGCCTAGACTTTCCCAGGAGATTTTTCCCTTGTTCTCCAGGGAATTGTACTCCTCAGCAAGTCTTGCAATACTCAGGAGTATTTCTCAGTTTCCTTCACTTTTTTGTGAAGGACTCTATGTACCTTGCTGCTTTTGAAGGCAGCTTCAGCCTGTTCATACCAGTGTACAAATTCTTTTCCACTCACGCTTGTCCAGTATACTTGACACAATGGCCAGGTATTTGACCCCTGATGTTAGCAAGCTGAGCAAGAGTTCTCTGAGCATTTGATAGGTGTTGCATGAAGATCTCAAGAGACAAAAAATCTGTAGGCAGATCTTCATCAATGCTGGCCACAGAGGTGTTGTCATCATCGTCATCTAGCTCAGGCCCAAGATCACCAGGGTCTCTGTGGCAGCTGTCAGGTGGCTGGGTTGGTAAGGGTGATGTGGAATGGGTCGGAAATTCCCCAGGTTTCTGTCAGAGTCCACACATCAGTTTGCACGTGAAGGTCTCCCTGGGAAACTAGTTGTTGTTAAAGCTGGGGAGCCAACCCAGCTGGCGATAAGGCCTTATATACATGATTACCGCCAATCACAAGAGTGTGGCTACAATGGAGATAACATGGAAGCCAATAGAAGGATGACATGAAAGGGAAGATAGATCATGTGGAAAAGGGGGTGATAATGGGTAAAGGGTGATGCAATAGCGGAAATAGTGCATTGAATACAACCTGCATTCTAACTATGGCAAATCACACAGATATCGGCTTACAGGTACTCAACCTATCTGGATAGGGGTCCAGGCCGGCCAGATAACCATCCATGCCCTGACAGTTTCAAAATGGGATGGGATTTCTGAGTCTGGTGTAAAATTTTAGTTGACTTTTAACCAGGATAGACCAAATCAGATCATAAAGCTCGCCTTTTTTTGAGAGTATTTCCCCAGGTTCTGTGTATGCTTTTGCTTCCTACTAAGCTCCATGAGCGCAACAAGATGGTTTAACAAGGTTTGCTTTCTGTATTTGGAGCCAGCAATTGCCAAATGTATTTATTTGGATAGCTCTGTGGTGCAAAATTGTTCAAGAACTGATTTTTGAAATGTTGTCTCTGGGATCAGGGAGTGATGAAATGTTGATTCCCAACAGCATAAATTTTCACACCTCAACTTTTGATTGCAACCATTCTAGAACCAGGAGTTTGTCCATTCCAGTCTACTTTACACACTGTAGGTTCTCAAATATATCTAAAGTGGTTGTGTCGACTCCATGGGGCACATGCTTGTTTAGAAATAATTTGCTTCTGAGTAATGACTTATGTGTGTCGTCTATCTTACTAGCACAACCAACAACCAGTTCCCATGGCCTCCAGGAGTTTCCAGAGGCTGCCAATCAATTCAGCAATTCAATCCAAGACCCCCACATTACACATTACCAGACTAACCCTGAAACATTCCCCCAGTGCATCCTGCAAAGATCATGTGCTGAAAGCAAAAATAGTTCAAAAATAGAAAACCTACAAAACCCACCCCCCTGAGATGAGCACAAAAGGAAATATACACGTGATCAGGGCCAAACAAAAAATGATGGTCCATTGCCTACATGTTGTCAGGGATCACTCGTCAGTCCAAGTCAAGTATCACCCGAAAACCTAGTTGTAGACTCAGCTGAGGTTCCAACCCTCAGTGGCACATAGAGCTATATACACGAGTGACATCAATCAATCAGAAGAGACAGGATCAAAGGAACTAAACAGTGATCCAATAGAAAACAGAGTGAATAGAAATGAAGGAACACTTGGATCAAAGGGGCAGAGTCAGATCAAGAGAAGGTGAGGGATTTACGATATATGAGGGCCGATGTGGCTACATGCAGTGATATAGTCTTACGCAATATTGATAGGGTAACAGAGAACCACTTACGCTATGTTCCCTGACACATGTGATGTTATTATGTAATAATTATTCATTTCACATCATCCTCCCTGTCATTTCCCAACCCAACCCAATTACAAAACCAAGATTATTAAGTACCATCACAACGCTTGTGTATTGTAGAACATGCTCAGCATAGGGTTGTCAGGGATGCATCCGGGGTCAAGGCGGTCCGGGTATAGCGCCCAGCGCTGCAGGTGGAGCTGGGTGGAGCCAGGTGAGTGGGTGTGCCCTGACATCACCCCCTCCTTAAGCCGCTTTGCCTCAAAGCAGCCAGGCGATTCTCTCTCTCTCTGCCTGGGGCATGGGGGTGTGCCTGATGGAACTCCTTGATCTGGTCAGGGGCATGGGTCAGTTGGTCGTGGGGGAGCCATTGGTTTTCTGAGTTAGGCCAGCCTGCAAACTTCACCAGTTACAAGAGTTTTCGGTGCAGTCCAATACTTTCTCGACCTCATATTCTTCCTCTCCATCTACCAGCTCTGGGCCTGGGTGGGGGTCAGCAGGTCGCTCTGTGACTTCGTCCGGGTGGTGCGGCCTGATGTTCATCACGGATATGACTGGGTGGATCCCCTTCTGTTGTTGCCAGTGGGGAAGCAAAGCACAAGGAGGGGTATCAGGTGAAAAGGGATAGGGAATGGATGCGCAGCACAGCAGCACACCAACCTACCACCACAATCACCACCACCTCAACCTCAACTACTTCACACCACACCTACTCCCACCCAGCAGGATGAGAAATGAAAAAGGGGGGGGCCAGCAAGCGGCTTCCTTGGACAGAATCAAGACCAAACTGAAAACTCAACTGGTACTCAGCATCCTATAACTCGGTGTGGATCTCCCTGAGGACACTGTGAGGCTACCTTGCCTCCCTCAAGAATACTGCACTCGACCACGCCTCCAGCACACTTCACTTCGTGACCAGATCTAAACGTAGCAGAGGGGAAATCTCTGTATCAAAATGTAACTAACCAATATTATATACAAACGACCCTGCAAACGCATCTGCGAGCTTCCAGCATGTTCCATATGACTCGTCTGGTCACGTCGCAAGAGAAAATAGAATAGGATACACAATATCACAAGCAACAAAATATAAAACAATAGAAAGTGGCCGCAGAAAACCTAACCTGCATCTCCAGCCCAAACCACTCGACACAACTGCGCTCCCTTCATGTCAACCAACTCGCATAGACTACAGCTATCCAACGCAACAAACCGCATCCAATTTGATGGAGAATTGAGTGAGATAGCGTTGAGGTGGGGAATATCCGGCACATTTTCCTAACTTTCCAACCACATGTCGCCATGGTCCCAAAATTGGCACATCCTCCCGACCAGTCATATCATGGACAATGGATATTTATCCCTATTTTTATGAAGCCTGAGGGATGCCAGGGACCATCTGTGCACCCCATTTCCCACGTGTGCGCAATGAACATGTGACATGCATCGCGATACACAACTGAAATCTGCATATCTCTGTCAATATCTCACCGATTCTCCTCGCGTAACGTGCGTTGGAATCGCCTCGATATCCTCTACCATTCATACTATAACCTCATCACCTAATTCCTAGCCAACCTTCCACTGTAGGATTTTCTAACATTTTATCCTGCATGTGAGACTAGTGTTGCTGCGTGACTCGACTCAAGTGGATTGAGTTGCGACTTGGATCGAGTTCGAGCCAAGTCAAGCCATCAACTATGACTCGACTCTATTTGGCTTGACTTGAAACATGAAGTCGTCTGGGATTGACTTGAGTGACTTGGAGTTGGGGACTATTGTATCAGATACACTAAATAGAAAGCCTGCACTTATGTATGTAGTTGGGTGTTGTGGACGTGGTGAAACATGATGGTTGATGAGTGACAACGGCCGCACTGTACTCCTCAACTGGTATAAAGCAGATGCTGAACTCGACGTGCTAGCAACAAATCCTTCACTTGCTATCATGAGTGCAGATCAGTGGATTGTGCAAACTTCTCAAGTCACTACTACTCCCAACTCATCTACATTAACCACCATTTCTACTATTTCCAGCGCCAGCCATCCCGGTTCAGTATCCACACCTATCTGCAGTCGCCGCTCCGGAACCTCTGATAGATTTTCCCCATACAAATCTCCTAAGAAGTCTCTTCTCCGTGTGCCACCCAGGAATGCAAAGGATGTGGCTGAATTCTTTAAACTAGCTGATGGGGGAGAAAAAAGAATCTGCTCTGAATGCGAGTAAGTCTTTATACTGAACAAGGATAAACCATCAACTTAACCAGTCTTAATAGGCGAAAACTACAGAGTGGTGGAGGACTCGGACATGGCCAGACTTGGATCTACAGCAAAGGATCTTCAGTATCAACCCTACGAAGGCATATTTCAAAATATCACGCAGCTCTATATGTCACAATCTGTCATCGTCAGAATTGGGGGATCAAGATCCGTGAGCTTCAAAATGCTCCCACACAGTCTGATAGTGCGAGAGGGGATGCAATCAACCAAAGGCTGGCCTATTCCAAGGAGGAGCTTCTGAAAGCGATTGTATGATTCATAGCAGCTGATGACCAAGTAATTCTCCAAGCAATTCATAATTAATCACAATTAACTTTGGTTCCTTGCTTAGTCCGTGAATGTTGTCGAGTGTCCAGAGTTCAGAAATCTTCTTCTCCTGTGCAATCAGGGTATGCCAGAGAGTGACATTCCACATCGGAGCAAGCTTAGTGAAGCCATTCTTAGTGAGTGGGATAGTGAGTTTGATAAGCTCAAAGCAAGGCTAAAGGTATGCAACAACGTAACTTGATCATGTGACTCTAATTCTCATTGTTGCGTTGTCTATCATGTCTTGCTTCCTCTCTCTCCCTCCCTCTTGCTCTTAAAGTCCACCCAAGGGAAAATCTCTTTCACAGCTGACATCTGGTCTGACTCACGGCTCCGCCCTTTTCTTGCAATCACTGCCCACTGGATCGAGCAAGATGCCAAGAAAGACTTGTCTCTCCAAGCAGCACTCATTGCATTCTCACATGTCCCTGACTCACACACTGGAGTGAATATAGCAAAGGCCACAGTGAAGGCATTGAAGCGCACTGAAGTCATTAATAAGGTAGGAAACTCCCATCTGCAACATAGATAATTCTTTAAATTGCAATTTTAGGTTGGTTGGTTCACCCTTGACAATGCATCAAACAACAAAACTTTCATGAAGGCCATGGAAGAAGAACTGAAGCCTTACAGTGTTCAGTTTATTGCAGGAGAGTGGCGCATCAGGTATGTTGCAAAAACAATCAACTTGTGTGCAACCTAATGTTGCATCTTCACTTTGCAGATGCTTTGCACATACTGTGAATCTTGCAGTGCAACACATCCTTACCAATGTCAAAAAGCACTTTGAAGAGCTAGGAACAACCCAAAAGATACAGAATCCTCTTGCCCTTGTGCGATCACAAATAACCCACTTGTGCGCATCAAATAGTCGTCGCATTGCTTTCCAGCAATTGATTGAGTGGGGTAATCTTGAAGGATAATTCCTGCCCAAGCTTCCTATTCATGAACTCCTGTGTGATATGCCTGTTCTGATGATTGAGCAATTCCTTGAACTACGGCCAGTAAGGCAACAATCTAGTCCCTCATTCTGCATTAATATAACATTACTAACCTCACCTCTCAAGGCTCTTGGACACGCACTTCTATCCAAAGCATTTTCCAGCTTGGATAAATGGAAACTCAGCAACGAGGAGTGGTGGTGGCTTGAGGAAATTCTTGAATTATTGAAGGTAATCTCTCTCTCTTACTGTACACTGCTAGTTAGATTACTAAAATCATGTGTAGATCCCACATGCTGTCCAGCAGCTAATGTCAACTGAAACTATCCCGGTTCTTGGCAACTGTCTTGCCACATTCAACCAGTTTGAAAAGGTGTGGACCAGCCTTGTGCAGCACAAACTGCATCTTTCCCCCTTTGTCAAGGAAGGTCTCCATTGGGTTGATGCATATTATTGTAAAATGCGTCGAAATGACACCTATACAATTGCCATGCATATGTTCTTCCTCGCATTATTTGGAGTAATGCTTACAATTTTTAGTTCTTCATCCCAAGCACAAGGCCGCATCCATCCGTGAAGAGTTGGGAGAGCTGGCAGCAAGGGAAGCAATTGATCAGCTAAAGAATGAGGTAAGTCACCCTAGTCGACTAGGTGGCCCCAAGCTGACATGTCTTAAGGCACAAGCCTATGCTTCCAAGAAGACACAGTCGTGTGAAGTTCAGAATGCAGAGATGTTGGATGCTGCCACAGCGGTGGCTAGTCAAATCCTCAAAATTAATAACAAGTCCAATCAGCTCTCTGAAACTGTCGATGAAGAAGTTGAAAGGTACTTGGCACTTGTAAGGCCAAGGAAAGTTGCTTCCCTTGTGGCATGGTGGCAGGTACGCAATTTTCACTTGTTATGGTTGTCACGACCCGGCGTTCCCCGGGGCCAGACGACCTCCTCCCTGACCTTCTCCCACGCCCGAACACTCCCCGCACACTCCGCTTGCCGCCCGTCACCGTCTAACCACTTCCCGCCACCTCTCCACAACCCCTCTCCTAATTATCGTTGAACGACCTAGCGGTGCAGAGCGCTGCGACCTGTTGTCCCATGTTTCTCCGCACCTTGTTACCTCGTGGCGAAGGTCACGCTTGACCTTCACTGTCTTGAACACGTGCCCTTTGTTTGTTTTCCTCCTTCTTTTCTCCGCCCGCAATCTCCGCGAGATCTGGCGACTTATTCCCTATTCAGTTCCCTAGCGCTTATATACAGCTTGTAACTAATGCTTGTACTGTAGTTCGAAATCAACTAGAATTACCCCCTAAAGCTTACCTCTGTCCCCGTGAGACCTCTGACCTTCTGAAGTATCGGGACCGCGTCGAGAATGAGGTGCAACGCTCCTCCTAGAGTCGTTGAAGCGGAAATCCCGGCTCACTCGCCTAAGTAGCCTCGGCCTCGAGATTGGTGGGGTTTATCCCTCGCTAAAGCTCGGTCGGGTGTAGGACGCCTTTACCACTAGCGGGCAATGCTCGGTCGCCTACGGCTACCCTCAGTGAACCTTCGCACGGTTCTGACAATGGTGTGATTTAATCTTAACATCGGACGCTTGCACAGGCTCATCAGAATGAATTCCCTACTTTCTTTAAAGTAGCTATGAGCTATCTCCCAATCCAGGCAACAGCCGTCCCCAGCGAGCGTGTATTTTCTTCTTCTTCAGAGACCCTCACTAAGTGCCGTAATCGATTACAGCCGAAGATGATTGAACCTCTGCAAATGCTTAAGTTCTCATTCAAGAACGCCTGTTTGGACTGGTTGGCCTTGTGGAAAGTCACAAGTGCCGACCTTCATAATAATGATACTTGTCTTAGTCTCACGGAGGTTGCAGGGCAGGAGAGGCACCAGCTGCTTCTGGCTCTGCTTGCAGGCAAGAATTCTTAGTTTAATATGTAAATACAATGTTCTACCCCATCGCTGTTTCTGAATTTCCCATCGACTCCAATTGGTTCAAAACCAAGTTGAGTCAAGTTGAAGTCGAGTCGCAGTTGAACTTGACTTGGCTTCGGCTTTACCCAAAGCTAATTGGGAGTGAGTTGGAGTCAACAAAAAGTCGAGTTCCGGCAACACTATGTGAGACCCGATATATCGCCTGTTCTGGGGTGTCTGTGACCACCACCCCTACATCGTGCGGTGAGTTGGAGTTTGAGGGCAGTGGGGGAGACAACCTTGATGATTTTGAAGGGGCCTAGCCACTTATGGTCCAGCTTTTTGGTTAGGCAGTCAGTTGTGTAGTTCTGGGTGTTGAGCCATACTTGGTCACCCTCCCGGTATTCGGGGGCTGTCTCATGGCCCTGGCCATAGTAGCAGGCCATCTCGTCTGCCACATGCTCCAGTGCTGCCTTTGCTTCCTCTTGCATCTTCATCATCCTTGATGAGAAGGCGTTGGCAGCCTCTACCTCAGACGTGCATGTGGGTTCTGTCCCCATCCTGGGGTGCTGCCTGGTGTCTAGTTCAAAGGGGGTTCAGTGGGTGGAAGAGTGGACATGGTTGTTGTAGGCAAACTCTGCTAACAGGAGCCAGTCCGCCCAGTCATCTTGGTGGTGGTTGACAAATACCCGGAGGTAGGCCTCAATTTCCTGGTTGATCCACTCTGTCTGTCCATCCATCTGGGGGTGGTAGGGTGTCAAAGGGGTTAGCTTGACTCCCAGGAGGTCTGCAAGTTCTCTTGAGAAGCACAAGAAGAAGGCACTTCTGAGTGCAGATTGAATTGCTAGTAAAGCATGGCAACTCAGTCTCAAGCAAATATGCAAAAGAGAACTGTTATTATATTACCTAGTAAAGCGTGGCAACTAAAGGTAATATACAGAATATAAGTTTAGGATCAAACTAAAGAATGTGATGTTACCAGACTCATACCCAGCCGTCTCCACTACATGGATGTGCAAAATCTCGACTAAGTTGTTGTATTAGAATTCAGTTGTAAAGTCACGTTCAAGAACAAAAAGTGTATTACAATACAGAAGTCACATGCGACGGACATAAACATAAGTCCGATCACCTACTCCGGAAACCAACTCGCGACACTTCGCTCCGATGACTGGTGCAAAATGGCAGTGGTAGTACCACTCAGCAATTGCCGAGTTCGACACGACAGAAAGAGATTGCGGACATGTGAAGTTCCCACAAAAACATAAGTCACACAATGGATCTTTTGGTGTTAACCCATGCGGACTTGTACCCAACCCAACCCATAGTGCTTGGGGAGCACCTTGAGGGCTGTGAAATTAACACCTGGGCATGGGCGGAAAATCAACCCTTATATATTACTTTGATCCTAAAATATAGTTCATGCTCAGTAGTATAGGTGGCACAGCGTGAGCTAGGGATATAATCTTTTTTGGCTGCATATGTTCGATTCTCAGCCGGTAAAACTTTGTTTTTTCTCATTCCTTGCTCTTTAGTGTGCACAAATTTTACAACTATTCCACAGGAGAACACAAAAAAGTTGTACCAAGTGAGAATCGAACATACGCAGCCAAAAAGGTTATATTGTCAACTCACGCTGTGCCACCTATACTTGCATGAACTATATTTTAGGATCAAAGTAATATATAAGGGTTGAGTTTCTGCCCATGCCCAGGTGTTAATTTCACAGCCCTCAAGGTGCTCCCCAAGCGCTATGGGTTAACACCAAAAGATCCATTGTGCGACTTATGTTTTCGTGGGAACTTCATGTGTCCGCAATCTCTTTCTGTTGTGTTGAACTCGGCAATTGCCGAGTGGTACTGCCACTGCCATTTTGCACCAGTCGTCGGAGCGAAGTGTCGCGAGTTGGTTTCCGGAGTAGGTGATCAGACTTGTGTTTATGTCCATTGTAATGGGTCTATCACCTAGACTCGAGACAGAGAGAAGGGGGAGGGTGGTAGTGTGCACGGGTGTGGTTCATTGGGCCGGGTTTTGGTCCGTGGGTGCTACTGAGTCTGCAAAAACCTCAAACAAACACTCACCTACATCTCTCTTGGACGTCAAGGCTGAGTATTATGATGTGAGGGGTCTTAGACGTGAGCAACTAGCTCAGAGGGGGCGTTAGGGTCGTGGATGGCATCTTTGCCACTTGGATGCAACTTCTGCTTGTCCCTTCACGGGTCTATTCAGTACTAACTTGTTATGTACAAGCTGTTATCTATTTTATATGAGTTGGAAATGAAATGAATGGACTGGGGGAATGTAAACGGGCCGTTAGGCAACCGTAAATGATGAATATCCAATTGGGAACAAAGAAACAATAAAAGAAATATGAATGAATGGGGAAAATGTGACAACGGGTCCGAAATGGGAATTGTGAAAGTTATCTCCACAACACTTCGCCACAGCGCCCGCCTATCCTCCTGTCAGCAACCTCCTCGTCTCCAGCTTTCCAATGAGCCCTTATTCGTCCCAATTGGTGCAGTGGTTCTTGAGATGTGGAGAGGGGGTGAAATTGGCGGCGTG